TCCCCAGCTGGACTCCAGAGGATATTAACCCTTACTTTACTAAGGTGCAGGACAACAGAATACTGGATTACAGCCGGACTCTCAATATAAGCAAAACTTTAGCTTACTATCGACTGGCCTGGGTTAGGGAACACAGTCCAAAAAAGTTTTGATGAATGAATATTATAAATGTTATAAAAGCAGTTAAACATTTTGCAGCAGGCACTTAAATATATTGTGTTACTAGTTGTGTTGGTGCACTGTATGCTAGGCGTTCTCATTTAACATCACTGCAAATTGGTTTTGTTTCTTTGTCCAGTTGCTAGCAGGTAAATATGTCATTAATTCCAGATTATTACACTTATCACACTCCTAATCCGCATCCAGTGGTAAGCTTCTTCAGTCCATTTATACCTCTTCCTTAGCCACAGTACAGATGATCTGAAACGTGCTACATTGGTATTAAAGCCCATTTAGTTTTCAGTGTTTGCTTATTTAAGTCCGTTTGCGTTCTTCATGTTCATATATAAAGTAAAATGATTCCACTGGGTCGACTGTGGCAGACTGACAACATCAAATTTAGTTTAAATGGTTTTTAAATGAAAGATGATCTACAGTTTTCAACCAAAGTGAAGTTCCCATCAGCATCAGCATTCCGGCCACGATCTTCAAACTGATTCAATTTAACCTTTCCAGTAATTTAACAAGGGCGGTTACCATTATGATTCTGAGAGTCCACACTTTTACAAACACAGAAATAATTTCCCCGATTCTCCTTTAACTGCTGATAAAATTACATCGAGTGCTTTCAACCACTTTAAACTCAATCAGCTCAAATTTTAAATGAAACTACTCAAAGATTTAAAGTGATTATCCCGTTTCTGCACTTTTTTTAATTCAAAAATTAATTTGTAAAACAGAGTACACTGAATCCAATTCTGCTCTGTCACAAACAAACGCTTTATTCTGAATGCCTCCAACTGAGAAAAAAAGGAAGATGTTATCTTGCATTTATGTCTTCTTATCATATATTATGACTTAATATGTCATATTAATGTGAAATGTTATGAATGGTTTTTAACTATTATCATGTCTGAGTGCTTTAATAATTTTAGATTCAGTAGGTTATACTGAGGGTCTCCTATTTGTTGATGTTTAGATGCAGATTTATATTACATTACATTTACACCTAGAATTCATCATATTCATTTTTTCTGGAATTTTTACGTCTTTTTGTTACTGACAGTTACTTTGATAGACAATAAAACACAAATTCACATTCAAATTGCATCTATTACTACGATTTCTAATCAGGCAGCTAAGCATTTACTTATAAATATTAGGAGTGTAAGTCACATCAAATCTAAAATTATATTTATAATATGCATCGCTTTCGTGGAAGTGTTTGATTTTGACGCTGCAACTAACCTTTAATCACTCTTGCAAGAGCTACATTCAGACACTCCTTTGACTTCATCGCCCGAGTTTTTGATCTGTTACAGTTTGTGTTTTTTCTCTGTTTTTTATGGGTAAGCAGATGCACTGAAGTCTCAAAAATGACAAAAACAATGACTCAAATTAAACGTTAAACTCCTACTTATAGAACAAAACAGTTGTCAAAATGGCACGTTAGTTGATGATCTCATACCGTAATCTTTTCTAAATCTAATAGCAGATATTATACGTCTTAAATTTGACTTATAGAAGTTTTAAATAATAAAAATGTTCTAGTGTCTGAAGCAAGTTCCCTAAGTCTTCAAAAATGGACGTGCAGTTTGACGGCCTTTGTTTGACTGGACGTCTGCAGATCTCGTTACCGTCTGCACATCAAACACATTCTTATTTTCTTTTAATTTCTGCCACTTTAGCAAGAATAAATATCTCCACCTATAAAACTGGAAGCATCAGCAAGGAAGGTCTCGTCACAGTTTACCTCCGTCCCGACACCCCCCACCCCAGCTCACATTGGGCAAGCTAAACTCCCCAAAACAATGAGCATTTGATACACTTTCTTTAAAAGAGAAATACATTAATGATGCTCCCTGACAGTCTGCATTAATCAGAGGGGGCTCCCCCTGAACACAACTCTTTATCGGCCATCGATTTTCCAGTGGGTTTATGGCGAGCGACACATCGAGAGAGCTCGTCGCCGGGCGGCTGCTGGGAAACACATTACGGGGCTGTCAGTTGTCTCGCCATGCATCCTGCATCATTCTTTAAGCACATGAGAAGTTCATTACACCGCACAGCTCTGACAGTGCATAGGATATTAGGGACTGTGTCCCTTGTGCCTATTCTTGGTGCAAGTGCAGCGCATTAGACGTAACAGAGAATTTTGACTTTATCCAAATATGGCTTCAAATTGATTGTGGAAACATGGCCTTGCATTAATTTGAAATAAAATCATTTTGAAGCACAATAAAAGCTAAATTACAAGAGAGTACAACGGATGACTCAAACCCATTTGAAAGTATGAGCCCATCTGCCGAGTGTTTAGCCTGTAATCTTCATACTAATGAACTTAGTTTTAACATAAGTCTAAATTTCTCTCCACTTTAGCAGTGATTTGGAGAAGCCTCGCTAACTACTGTAGTGCCATATTTGGAAATTATGTTGCAGCGACTGTCTCTCCAGGCTCCCATGTACATCCCACACGTCCCATGTTGACCAAAATGATTTCTCACCTTAAGACGCTCACGCTGTTTTGATTTATGATGCTTCACAACTACTAAAATTCAATTTCAGCCTGCATTGCATGCTTCTGATTTGCCCCGTAAATGAGATAAACTGATAGCAATTTATTCAAGGATCCCACCTCATCTCTCCTCTCTCTCTTTCCTGTTCTTTTAACAGGAGACACAACTCACATCCCAGACTTGGGTGAATCCAATATTTAAGCGATACGTCTGTATTCCAGAGCATTCAGCAGAACAGACAAGCTGATGCTAATAGAAAAGCTTGCAGAGAACAATGAGAGAGACAGAAAACAATGTGCATGTTTGATGATGTGAGAAACATTGAGAATCTGCCTCCTCCTGTCTGATTACTCTTATACTTCGGGCTCTGAAGTAAACCTTGCACCGTGTGGTACACTTATTGCCGAGATATAAAGGGGTTCGATAATACCAGCCATCGCTAAGTGAAGACTTTAATGTGACTGTGTAATTCTGTCAGGAGATATACATTAAGATCTAAGTAATGTCAAATAAAACTGAAGTAACGGGTGCCTTGGAAAAAAAAAGGATGCTTGATTAGATACACAGCAGCTCATCCCATTTCTTGGAAGCTGGATCGCTGTTTAGAATGTAAATAAAAACAGAATGCACTGCTTTGGAAATCACTTTAAGGCTGAAAATAGTCTGTTGAAACTGCTACATTTTACAGCTTTTGAAAAGTATATAATCATTTTGAATTTGATCCCAAGTACATGGTTCAAAAAAATTGGGGCATGCGTCATGGAAGACAATCTGCTCGCAGATAATTAGGTTAATTGGGAACGTTATTGAATATACATCTCCAAGAGACCAGACGGAAAGACTTCGTGGCCATATAGTTCAATAAATTAAGTGCATAAAAATGCAAGGAAGGTGGGATTTCATCACCATGGTACACAGTTTGTAATTTATTTAGCAAATCGTGGATGTGGCATTATCGATATAATAAAGCTAACCTCAGTGATAGCACTGATAACTTATATATCTGTGAAGGCACCATAATGCTTAATGATAAATACAGGTTTTAGAGCAGAATGGCTGCCATCCAGACAACGAGACAATGCCACGTGTTAAGACAGCGCGGCAGACACACTGAAAATATAGTGACCATTATAAAAAAATAATATATAAATGTATTACAAAATCAAATTGAAATATATTATTTCAAAAAACAGCAAAATGTCTCAATTTCAACATTTCTATTCTGAATTTAACAAATCTTCAAATGACTGCAAATCAATTCGATACAACGTCCCAACTATTTTGGAAACAGCGATGTCTGTTCTGAAGCCTAACCCAGACTACCCCTACAGAAGCCGATGTCACCACACACTACCCTAGCAATAAAAAGGGCACCACTTATCTCATACCACTTATCTATGTGATGCTGATGATGTTCCCTCTATATAACAATGTGGTCAGCAGACCCATTCAGACTTTAAAGAGAAGCTGTCAGAGACCATGATAAAAAAGTATAATGATTATAAATGCTAAGCCCCATTTAGGAGGCGTCAATGCCATTGTTGTTGTTATCCAGCGTATCAATCTTGTTGATTGATCATCCCGTTCTGGTGACATCAGTTTTATGGCCTCTGAAATGCGCCACAGTGTTTTCACAATGCCATCCAATTAGACTAGTCCATTCATCATTGGACTGAAGAATCATTATTAATTGGGTGGAGAGTCGACTGCCACTCCCCTGCTGAGGAGGGCCACATTCGCTATTCACGCAACAGTAAAATAAATGGAGGCTTTGAGGGTGAACTGTGCAGGGGGCCACAGGGAGATACAAAACTACACACCTTTATGTGTATCATAGGCCACATTCAGCCAAAATAAAGAAGATTACATGCACTTATTCCATGACGACTATAAGGAGTCATTTTAAATCTGATCACTGAATAGCACATATGTTAATAAAAACAGTAAAAGGATGCAAAGAAGTTTCTATAGTTTTTCTCTGTATACATTCATGCCTACCAGTTAGGGCTACTGTTTAGATCTGTGCAACTTTATGTATCTGTGTGTGTGTGCAGAGCAACCAATAACCAAAACTTTGAAGGAGAAAGAATTAGATGGCATATCTGGTAAATTTGGTGCTATGTGTTAAACATAGAAACACAAACTGTACATGTACAATCGCAATTTTTTTTGTGTGTTTGCTCCACAAAATGAAACTGAGTCTCTATAATAGTAGGTGAGTATTTTGCCAGTCAGTCCCCTGTGCAGCACTTGAAAGATTTATATATTTTTGTTCATTCTGCAACTTTTATCATCTAGCTAATGTAGCATTGTAACTTTTCATACCTTCATTCCCTGCGGATAAGCCATCTGGCTTTGTGATGCCTGTGCTCTTTTTCCGTCTGTGTTTCTTGCGGTTTGCGTGTGGCGAGGGAGGTGGCTCAAGTTTAGGACTCGTTGCACTGCCCACACTCGAACCGGTCGGATCACTCGTCCCGTTAGCTGTGGGAAAAAAAGCATAAAAGGGGAAACAGTTACTGTTTTTGAACAGCGAAAGAAAGACACACTCTGGATTTTCAGTTATTAGAGAATAACTTTATCTTTAAGTTTAATTTTTACTATATGATCATCAGCTTGATGATTGTAGTTCTGACTGCTAACTGGCCTCAAACCTCACCAAACAAATAAAGTATGACAGGTATGTTTATTAATTTTAGCTCGTTTTAAACCTGATTAAATGCAGCTGTCCCATTGGTGGATCACTCATAGAAATGTGTAGAATAAGCTTCTGTTTTTTTAGACAGAATCAATTCTAGTCAAGATAATATTTCCAAACAATAGAAAAAAAACATCATGATTTATTCAAGAACTGTGAGGATGAACTTTGTTTTAGATTTGACATGTTGGGAAAAAAATTGACATTATGATTTTCTTCTGGAGCTTCTGCAGGCGACGAATACACAGAGTAATGACTTCACGACTACTGAAGGAAAAATTTGACGGAGACGGTGAAGAAAAACAAGGTCATGCGGGATTTTCTGTCTTTTGCTATGATGATGCGTGATACATTTAGAAAAAGAAATGCAGAATATGGATGAAAAAGGGAATGCTGGGTTAAAAAATTTAAAATGACTTCATATGTATCCATAAATGACTTTTCCCTTGTAGATCAATATCATCAAGGTGACTTTGTGTGGACAATGTAGACTTAATATTTTGCAGATATACACATGTCTCAAAACTCTTCCGTTAGTGGCACAGCAAGCGTTAACGCAATGAGTTACAAAAACAGAGATTGAAGCTAAAAAAATAATAATAATTTTATCACATGTCCTAAAAAGGGTGTAAAAGTATGTTTGCACCATGTTAATTCCTGTGAAATGACAGCTGATTGTTTACAATATTGAACATATCATGAAAAGTAAATGTAGACTTGTCACAATCCAGTATTGCATCTACAGTAGGAGGAGTTCAAAATGGCTACGAGTGCTCTAAAAGTAACTGTGTAACAACTCCAGCTTTAGATGGTCTGAAGGACAGGTACGGGGCTATCACTGAACAAATGGTTACCTAAGTTGGCCTGCGGCAAAGCTCTTTATATGACTGTCTGAGAGTGACAGGGGGCTAAGAGTCGGCTTTGTTTCTTGTAAGTGATTTTATAAATGTGATATTAACCTGTGCTACCGTTGGGCAAAGGGATAGGAGGGATGGGACGATAGGAGGGGGATGTCAGCTTGCCATCTTTCTGATTTCCTGACATTTGACATCACTTTCCCTTCTTTCCCCCTCCGGATGCCATTATGAATCTGGGAGCGGGGGCCAGGGGCCTGGGGGAAGCAGGGAGGGAGGGCCAGTAGATGGGCCCCATATTGCTCTCATCTTACCACCCTGTGTGGTGCTGGCAGCCTCCTCCATTGTCTCCCATCAAAAGCTCATTGTAGTGTGGCAAACTCCATTCATTTCCCTGTGCACCGTCCCAGCCCCAGGGGTGGAGTGCAGGAGGACAAGGGGCTCAGGGATTATTGCTGTTGTCGTTGCCAGTTGCACATGCTATAATGTGCGGCACTGTGCCATTAGCCAGTGTACAACATTAGGCCTAATTCGGTCATTACCTTTGGGGAGATGGGGCTGTCTTGGAGGAGTAAGATGGGCTCAGCGGGGGACTGAAGATGCCTGAGCGGGGGTGGGGGGAGCTCAGAGGATCGGGGATACACTGCTCGAGTGTGGGCAAAATATAGGAAACGACACCTGAGACGAACATCATTATGCCTGCCCTCCAAATTATTCTTGATGAGAGTTAATGTATACAAACCGTAAAGTCATTACTGGGAAAAATTAACAAATTCATTAAAACGATCTGTAAGTTGTTTGAAAACAGGAGAAGTGTCTTTAAAGGTAATCTTAATATTTCAGCATAAATAGCAATGTATTGATTATATGCCATCACATTAATAAACATAACATTAGTGCATGAGCTGGAGCCCATATATTAGGCTCTCTGGTGTTTTGAATGGCAGCGCGCAGCCACACATGTAGCAGCTCCTAGTCAAGGCGTCTGTTTCAATTTCCCTGCTCTCTTACAACAGCCCCCCTGAGACGAGTCATTAGCTGGCTCAGACAGCTGGGGGCACAGGGGTCCTCCAATGTGCCCCCCACCCCCCACCCTCTGTTTCCTCCTCCCTCTCCATACCAGCGTCTGTCCCGCCAGCACAGCTCCGTATGGCGGGTGGAAGACTCGAGCTCCAACCTGCCTCCAAAGTGACAGCCAGCATTTGTTTAATGTCGCTTGAGGTTAAAGGGGAGGGCTGCCCCTCAGGGGGGCCCAACCGTGTCATAAACACCTCTAATTATCAATTTCTGCCCTTAATGTTGTGGAAAATGACCCCAGCCCAGCTCGCTCTGCACCTGAAACATATATATATGTAAAAAGGTATACACACCCCTTTGTTTGCATCCACTGGGCTTTAAGAAGTTTGTGATATTCAGGTGTAGGAGCAGGACATTTAAAACTACAGCACACATCACTAAGCAACAATAGCAAAGCGTGTGAGATATAATAGTTTTATATAAAGCCCCTGAGTGGTTCTCAGCTCTAAATGATGCATGGCAGGTTAATTAAAATTTGTTAAGTTGACAATTATGAAGTTGAAAGCAAACTGCAAGCGAGGAATTCACCGTGGCATTATTAGCTGGCTGTTAGCGTGCATGAGGGCCATCAGGACCAAGCTGGGTAATAAAGCACGCTGGGGACCAGAAGTCTCTTTACCCACTCAGCCAAGATCACCTGGGCAGCAGAGTAGGTACGAGGCTAACCTGTGATTACAGTGTATTGCACTCCCAGCACTGAGATGACAGCTCCAGAACGGAGGCCATGGGTGAGACAGAGGGCGCTGCTAACATCTTTACCAACGCTACGCTCAAAATGAATAAGAATGAAAAATGGTGAGAGAGTGAGCAGCAGGGGGGAGAGGGTGAAGAGAATTGGGGGGGGGAGTCATTTCATTGTTATTCAAGAGGCTCCGGGTAAGGAGCACTATGATTCCGCCAGGCCCCTTGACATGGCAGCCCTGCCTGTCCTCAATCAAAGCCAACGGCTGCAATTAATGGCAAAAATTAGAAACAATCACCGCCTCCCCCTTATTATCCTCAATTAGAGCGTACTAATCAAGGCCTGATCGCGCTCTGCTGCTCTCTCCAAACTAAATGTCAAACTTCATTACGGCCTGGCGTAGAAATCAAACGCCCCACATGCCATCACCCTCGCATTGGGAGGCCAAGGTGTAAAACACAGTGCCACAGGAAAAGGCTATCTGTGCATTAAGTACCTGTGTGCTGATGTGCAAACTCAGAAGAGAAAAAAAAAACACTCTTATATAAATAAATTAGCAATGGTGCAAAAATAAATTGGAGCACAAGGGATTAAAAAAAGGGAAGCGACGCAAACTTTGCATGGACTAAGGTTTTGATAATCAGCACAGCATTGTCAAAAAATTTATATTTTCATATTGGCATGAAAACTGACACGGCTCACAAGCCCTTCTGCAATTAACAATTATTTCAATTATTACAGGTTAACCTGATAAATACTTCTTAATTAATCAACTCTTTGTTCCACGTAAGCATCACTTATTTCTGACAGAACTATTTTATACATTTAACGTAAATAAAATGTGATAAAATATAACTAGAAATATTATTATCAACCAAAAATATATCAGAAAACATGAAAAGATAACCTTTGAATGATGTAAAGTTTTACTTAATCAATTTCCCCTGTTTTAAGACCTGGCTCAAGGCATCGGTGACACTGAAATGCAGAAGTCTTTTGACTTTGACTTTCACTCACGCATTGACAAAGACTTAAGTTACTGTCATCAGCCAGCCTATCAATTGACTGTTTGAGCCTCTTGCTTTTAATTCAGGCTCAAAGATTGAGGTGCGTGAAGGAGACCAGGATCTAAACAAGCATCCAGTGCATTAAGAATGGGTGTCTTTATGAATGCAAGCAATAGAAAAATTGGGCCGGGATTTAATCAAAAATCTGCGCTCAATATTCAAGAGATGCTACTACCTCGGCTTCTGCCTTCGTTCAATAGGTTTACAAATGAGGACATTCTTTAAATAATATGGAAATGGTTACCTGGCTAAGATGCATTCATTCTCCAGTGAATCATCAATCTGCTGTTTTTGCATCTCAGAATCACATTTTATGTTAACCTGCAACCTTCACCAAGGATAATGGAGTGATTGGGCATGGTTGGAGTCAATTCACATGGCAAAACATGAGCAGCCGTTACTGCGGAACACCCTCTATTGATTATTGAAGACACATTAGGAAGGAAGATAAGAGGGTTGCGTTTCAATCAAGTTTGTGTTGTGACAGCCCGGCATCACTTTACATTGCAGATCTGCTCCGCTACTTTAATTCACGTCCTTAAACTGTAAGGAGACATTAACGGCAAGATATTCAGCAAAGTTTCTGATGCTGCATTCAGCGTAAGCCTTTAACTGTCTGCACTGACTATGCACTGATTACAGAGACACTTCTCTTCCTCTAACATAATCTATCATTTGACACATCGCTTCTACTATTATTTTCAGCTCATTTGCCTCATTCAAGCTCATTTGTGGTTACCTTAAAAGTAGCATGAAAATAATTGAAGAAAATAAAATAATGGAGCAAATTGTATCTGATTTAGTTGAAGACTGGATGCTGGTTAATGAGCTATGTTAATATTAAAGGCTTTACAGTTTACCAAACATGAAAATAGGAAATTCTAGCCTCCTTATTTCCAATAGCACAATGTTTAGGAAGTCCTATTTGTTCTCTGCAGTTCGGTCGCCCAACCCGCATTCACAAACATCCCCACAGACGCACACACACACACATTATAATGCAAACACGCTCTGTGGAAAACAAAATCACATACAAACAGCCACTCACAAAAATTCTGCAAGAACACATACAGAATATATATACACACACACACACACACACACAAACACACGAACACACACACACACTCATGCTCATTTATTTGAGGACCCCACGAATCTAAGTAATTCTGCTTTGGGCATGCTGCTGATGGGAGACAGGGGTAGGGGGTGATGGAAGTGCCTGCGTCCAGGCAGAATTGATCGTTTGGCAGCTCCAAATGAGAGACAGGCTTGTCTGCGGAACCACGAGGGCCGTGCAGTTGGACTCCAGCAGCGCTCGTAAAGTGCGCTCTTTAAACTGCCGGGGCCCCTGGGAGCCCATGGGGAGGGGGGGAGCCGCCGCCGTGCTAATGAGAACTACCAGAGTGCAAACATGCATGGAAATGACTGTTATTCTGTTGATGTGCATTTAAGTGCTTTTTTACTGCCAACCACAAAGAGAGGGAAATAACTGGTGATGAATGGTACCCCCGAAAAGCATTCATTTTCCTCTTCGGAAGAAAAAGAGAGGAAAACAGAAGGAGGAGGGGGGGGCAGAGAGTAAGATGGAAGGTAAAGACAGGATGGGATTTGGGGGGGGGGGCAGCAGACATGGTGAATATATTTTCTTACTTCACTCAAGTACAGTGACAGGGCGAAATGTGACAAGGAGGCAGCAAGTGGAGATGCATCGATGGCGGAAAGTTAACCTTCACCGTTCCTCTCCTCTGAACATGCTGCTTCTATCAAAGAGCAGCAGCCAAAAAGGTCACAGCGATCACAGCTCTAATCAGCTAATTATGAAAATGAGGCTTGTTTCACCTGCCGAAGAAGCTCGGCAAATGGCAGCTCCATCACTCCACAACTCAGGATCAGGTCCCCTTAAGTTTATTTTAATACATTCTGTTCTTTGTGGCAATAACGAATTATATGCGAATTATAAGAACTCGGGAGGTGAGTGAGGGTGTAGAAAGCGTAGGTGGAGGGCTTACGGGCTCCGCTGCTTGTACTGGTGTTGATGGCTTCATTCCACTGGTCGGCGCTGGACACAGAGAAGGAGCGCTGGTGCATGCCATCTTTACTGCCGCCAAACGCCGACCCGCCCGTTTGGAGGGATGTGCTGCTGTTGGAGTGAGAAGCGCCTGGAAAATAAAAAAAAATTAAAAATTAATGCTCGTTTCTTATTTTGCGTACAGCTGTTTGAATTCTTTACTTGCAGGATTGTTTTCTTCAAGCTCAGAGGATAATGATGTAATTGAGTTAACAGTTTTAGGTAGTTTCTACTGCACTGCAACACTGCTGCCACCCTATTTGTGCACATATCTCTGTCAACCAACCCCCCACGCACACACACGCACACACACACACACACACACACACACAAAACCCTTCTCCCTCCGCCTCTGCCTCTAATTAGCCCTTAATTAACAAGATACACTCTGAACGCTAATTATCTCGCCTCATCCCTCTGACTGCCACATCGATCTCCACTGGCGTCAGCAGGCGTTCTCCCCCTAACTTCCAATCAGGCAAGCCACGGACGCCTGGCTCTCTTTACTAATTCATGGGCTAGGCTGAACCATGTGGGGTCCTTCCCTCCTGCTCGTGAGTAGCTCCTACAACACGTCCTAACTACTCCGAAAAACTCATCGATATGCTTCCAGTCATGTGAGCGGAATCAGATTAACTGTCGGAGGTGGAAAATACAGCTCCGACAGTTAATGTGATGAATGGGAATCTCTCATGTGACATGAAAATATGTTCTAAAAAATAAATAATAAATAAAAGTAACGGAAAGTAAGTGCTACTTAAAAGTAGCGTGGGCGTCTAAAAACAAGATCCTTTTCACAGCGTTTTTGCCATAAAAAAAAAAAAACACACACACACACACACACATGCTGCATGACATTGTAAAAACAATTCAGTTTAATAAGGCCAATAGATATCACACTGGCACTTAGAAGGTTAAAACATCAGAGGTTTTGTTATGGAAATCAACACAATTTTCTGATTTTCTTGACAAAGCTTCCTCATCTTACAGGTAACACACATCAAGGCCCTTTATTTAATAATTACAAGAGAATATCAGTTTCTGATTGAGGTGACAATAACAGAAAATATAGTGTGTGGCTCGTGTGTAAAGTAAACTAAGCGGCACGGGTGCTTGTTAGGATAATATGTCCTACTCATTATCTAGAGTAATAAGTGTATCAAATTCACATAATCATGTCTAATTAGTATCAGTAATTATCTTGTTGGGCCCAGGAATATTAATCTTCAGGTCCCAGAGGGGAGGGAGCAGAATCGCAGCAAGAATGGGAGAGAGAGCGAGGGAATCATGCTGAGGAGCACCGACTAAATTAGCATGCTGAAATCAGAGCGGAGGAGGAGGAGGAGGGGGGGAGGAGGGGAGGGGGAGAGCCTTGGAGTAGGAGAATTGAAAAGAAAATGTGAAACTTTGTTTTCCAAAAACGTGACGCATAAATTATATAGTTTTTTTTTTTTTTAGCTCTGACTTCTATACATTTGCTCTTGGTAAGTGTTTGTTTATTATTATGTGATTTTGGACAACAGTGCACCACTGCATGTTATTTCCCAGAGCCAACGTTAGTGTTACTGTTTAAAGTTAGAAGCATTCGTAACAGAAAATCCATTTTTCCACTATTCAAAATGTGTTTTAATTCACAGAGTGCAAAGTTTCACTCTGTGATACCTTAAAATAGAGAGGAGAGGGGGGGGGGAAGGATTAGATAACTCCAAGGCAACTTCGATTGATATTTAAAATTCAACAATCATGTCTAATTGTCAAATTGGATGCTAATGATTAATGAATTATACATGGCTGTATCCATTAGTCCCCAGAGACCACTCCTGCATAAAGGGGAGGATAATGTAATTACAGTGGAGAAATAATCAGCTTGTGGCATTAAAAGAACACTGTACTCAAAGCTCCAGCCAGGCCCGACTCCTTTACATTTTATAGATTTAACAGTGGCACTACAGTGGACTGACAATGACGAAACATTATGACTCAAACTGAGATTCAAGGGATTAATACTCAATTGGAAATCTCTCACACGGATTTTGGTGTCATAGACAATACAAAATATTAGTAATTAATGATTATTGACAATATAACTGGATTTATTTTGAATTGTGGGTGAACCAAAACCCCAGTTTGAGGCCTCATTCTGTCCAGTCTCTGTTTAAGTCTCTATGAAAAACCATTGCAGCCATTTATGTTGACATTACATGAAATATAAACAGTAAAATAAGCAAACCCAGATGAACAAAGACTGCTTAGTTCTAAATATTAGGCTACTGGGATGTTACATTTTTTGCCCAGCTTTATTTGTTTGACAGCTTTCCTCATTAAGCTTAGAATAATAGCATTTCTATAGATTAAACCACCCTTCTGCACAGTCATTAAAAATTGTTTAAAAAGCTACAATAATAAGAAAAATACTGTGCTATGTACCATAATGATCTACTTATATTATTACATTATAATTTAATTTGTAATGGGGCATTATTATACTGGAATATTGCTATCTGTTAGACTATAATTCTTTTACCACTGCATCTACTTATTAAAAAAATATCACCAAAAAACAAAACAAATTGCTACTTTTCTTCAACACATTCTGACACTGATTCTCTTATAAAGAAAGCACGCTAAACATTTAACTTTTGTTCATTTCCTGCTTAAACTCTTCACAGAAAAAAAACCCACTGTGGACTTTATTGTCATGTGTAAAAAGAGATAACAAAAGCCATATAGTTTCTACTGCAGGCGATCCAAGGCTCGGGTGTTAAGTACAGGCGATGGATTAGCGGGGAGCAGCTCTGCCTTGCTTCTCATTTCTCTTTAGGCCGGGCCGTCAGTGGGCTGATGAGCCGTGACGAGGCCTGACCCCTCCGTGGAGTTGTTCCCATTATGTACAAGTAGTGAGATAATGAAGCATTCATGCTAATGTGGGCCGAGCAACATATCATCTGCGGCTGTGTAATCCACCACCACCATCATCATCATGACCAACGCCCAGACGTCCCCCTTCGCCTCTCATACTGCGGCTCCTAGTCCAATCACAAGTCACTACAACATTTGCATTCAGACTTATGCATTTTATACAATGATTTCTTAAACTGTACGCAACAAATTAACATTAAAATATTGATTTTAGCCCTTGTGTATGAAAGTACAGCCTGTATTATCTTTGGAAATAGACATTTTTACGGATGCTTTCTTCTCCATTTCAGCTCCTTTTCAGATTCCATCTGATGACGTCTATTTCTATTGACAAAACAGATCTCGATACGAACAATTAACTCTCTCAGTGGATCTCAGAGGGATCCCCAGCAGCACTTCCGTGTTGCAATAAAGCAACTTTAGAGAAACAACATTCACTTTTAGATAATTAAGCTAAGCACATTTGGAATATGGGAGATGGTTTTCGCTTACCCAACAGGGTTGAGGGATTCAGACTGAAGAGATTGGGAAATATTTCAACTTGCCAAAGTTGTTACTGGCCTGTTAGTTAGGGAGTGTGTGGCTCTTAGTTCTGTAGCACTATATAAGCTGGAGACAAATCATGGCGCAGAGCTGGGAGGGAATGGGCGAAACACTTTTCTCCTTTTCCTCCCTTGTGGTGAGCGCATCTCTCCCTCCCAGAGGATTGATTAAAAGTGACTGGGCCCATTAATACTTTGATACAATGTATCTGTCGCTGGTGACACGGCAGGACGCATGTTAACAGGGAGGATCATATTTAAAATGGTTCCGCTCAGCACCCAGCAAAGGAATTAAACCTGGCCGCTTGGCAAACTCGCGGGCGCGTGCGTTCCCACATTTACTCTCTGTCTTCTCAACCTCTCCTCTTCATCTTCCTATCTCCCCCCATCCACTCTGCCCCTCCTTCTCCCGGTTGCTATCCCTCTTCTCCCAGTGATTATAAAGGTCTTTAGATCTAAGGAATGAATGAATTACCAAAGGCAAAGACAAGGCTTGTGATTTGGACGCCGTGAATGAAAAATTACCCCTTTGTTCCCTTCATCAATTGCATGTCTAATGAAATCAAAATCCCGATCGCATAATCAGAAGAGGGTCCTCCACCCGGAGAGAGACCTGATGTGATTTGTAACCTTTCTTTTCCTAAGTGGAGATTAAGGCAAATCTCTCTCACATTGTTCCCTGATGCAGACATAGATGAAAACTGAAAATGTTGGGAATTCATCATTGATGAGTCTTTTCCAAGAAATGATTATCAGGTGAAAACAACACTTTTGCGTTAACAACAAGAAAGAAAACAACCCAGTTGGTGGTGGGTTTTATTCTCCCCAAAACCTTATCTGGCCTGATTTTCACCGCCCTTCGTCCACTCAGACGACTCTCCTCAACCCTGCACTCAAGGTCAACACTTTGCAGGATGACACAACCTTGATCTCCTGTCCTGCGCTCTGTAAACTCCTACATCTTTCTGCTTGTGACTGATTAACTCATTCAGCTGTGGCAGCACCTTGGCCACATTTGAAAGTAACCTGCCCGGACAGTCCTAACGGTCCCTGGTGGCCCATCTTTGGCACTGAACCCACTCTCAGCCAGTTAGCTTTAGCCTGAATGATGGAAACACTGTGCCCATTTCACAGCTGACGAAGGACCCCACCTCCCTCCGGGGATCACTCTGCTAATTAGTATTAATTACTCTTAATCCTAACCCCTAAATCCAATCACGGGCTTCCTCTCTATACGGCTGCCAGACTCTCAGCAGCCTCCAGTGGTACTGCTTGCTGAGAGAAGAGCTCTATTTTTAAGCCTGAAGGTGGAAAAATCCTGGCACGATGCTCAGGACCAAACTGCTTGCTGTCTCTGTGACCACTACAGTACCACAGAGGATGGAGAATAAGTAGGTCAGTGACTTAAAAGACAACGATAAACAACTGTTTCTTAAACATGGTTGCAGCATTTACTTGAACACAACTTGCGATTCCCTGTTCAGTAATATAGAGAAGTAATAGATTTGTCATAGATGCTCATTAAGTCATCAGTGTGTATACTACACGGCAGCTAATTTGCATATATGAAACATACAGAAAGATAATTAACCTGTTGGGAGCCATTTTTGTGATTAATCGCAAACAGAGGGCAATATAAAATTAGTAATGTAATAAAAGCCTAATTGAGTAACCATTACATATTCAAGGTATGATTTATTTCTTCTAAGAGCCTGAAATGTATATATATGCTCTCTCTTAACTTAAAAGTGTCCATGCTTTTAAATTTACCAGCATAAGTGAGCGTTATAAATGTGGCACTAGCCTCAATACCACGGCTAAAATTGCAACTTTTATGATTAAGCTGGATCAGTAGATTATATAAATATACAAATCATTTCCCAATAGACTACATTTTGGACACTCCGAAGTCCAAAGGATGAAGTGAAGGTTGTACTATGGCAACAACAAAATAAAAATACTTAATGACTAGAACATGTTTTTTGAGATTTGTCCAAAACCACAATGATGTAAAAAAGTCATATTAAAAAAAAGTTAAAAAAGCTTGCACCACCATATTTGTAGTCTATCTAAGGGTGTTTTCACATGTGCAGTCCTACACTTTGCTCTAGTTTATTTGAGCCCAAAGCTGAGAGAACGGTGCAGGTTTAGATCTAGATGAGCAGAATGCATCAGGTGTGCCAGCTAACTATACCAAAACTGCAAAGTGTGCCTCTCTTGATACATTAACATTAACATTACTAAGCTGTATAAAGTTTTTAAACATAAAATATTAAATCTGAAATCTGCAAAGCTGAGCAAACTATGAGCTCCTCAAATAATTAGACTTTGCTCACATTTGTGCTCTTTGTACAAAAGTGCAGTGTAATGCAAGTGTAGTGGACGCAGAGCAGGGAGGAAGAGGGTGATACCGTCATTCATGTTGTGACACAGCACCCTAAAATTATTAATCCTATCGTATCATAACTGTTTATGTGAAAAAAGAGCAGAAATTCTGCCCATTGGACAAATAATGAAGCGGGGATTCTGACCTGTGTTTCCTATGCCCAGCTGCAAAGTGCTGCGGTCCTTGGTCAGCCCGTTGGTTTTGGGACTAGCAGTGGGGGCGACGGTGGCCACTGCTCTGGGCGGTCGCTTCCCAGGCACCTTAACTGTTGTCCTCAGCAGGTCTATCTCTTTTCCGTGCACATTCTGCATGTAGTCCTACAGGAAGTAATAAATAAGAGCATGACAATTGTATCAAGCAGCCTTCACCCTACACAAGCTCGTATTTCCAGATATATCCCACAATTTACCTACTTGATTACAGTCTGTGGACCAACAAGAATCCAGGAATTATAGAAGAAAAACAAATTAAAAGACTATTCAATTTCCATCCCCATTAGTCACAACCCATCTTAGACCTTCCACTACGGCTGCGTGATAGTGGGAAAATGATTGTAAAGCCATTATACATCACCTGTGCCCACGCCGTCTCTCCAAATAGCGAGATGGTAGGCTTAATGAATGCAAACTGTCTCATTCTCTTTCAATTTGGTCATTTGATTTGGTTTAAAGCGACTGCCGCCCAAATGTGGGAAGCCAAGGTGAAAATCATTGGGCTCAGCAGAAAAAGATCCAGATAGAGGCGAGCTCGGCCTTTGCCGTCCCCCCACCGGCTCCTCTGCTTTATTACCGTGTCATAAAGCACTCATTTCTTTCCCAAGCCTCCTCGCTAATTACCCAGTGAGCGCTCTCATTTCATTTTATTGCTGGAATTAACAGCCAGATCGAAGCGTGCAAAGCTATTAAGATGTGTGATTAAGCCACATTCAATTAGTTTCTACAAACAATTTAATTGATGTAGCAGATAGAATTAACAGAAGGTGATTGTGTGGATGGCTTGGCTGACTGCGAAATTAAAGGTTCCCCTCTTTCACTCTCAGGCTGCCTCCCTCCCTCGCGCCTTTCCTCAATCTCTCTCTTCCCCACTTTTTTCCCCCTCCTTTTCTTACTCCTTCTCTGCTCCACTGCTCAAAATGAGCTTGAGCTAATGTAACTGTCAGCCTTATTTCACCTCCCTCTGTAAGTCAACAGATTCATAGATTCATAGATTGCCCCGATGACCTGTAATAGCTGTAATGATCAAGAGATAGCCTGTTCAGTCAATTACATACATCACTTTAGCCTGGCACCGCTCTACTAATAACTGCTTGTAAATTAAACCACTAACACAATGTCAGAGTAAAAAAGACCACACACAGGGTTCATGTCTAACCACTGGGCCCATTTTCAAAGTTTGAGTTGTCTCATTAGAGACAAGATGCTGAAAATATCGCTCATTTCATGTGGCCGAATGATCTAGACATGCCGAACGCAAGGCTGGAAGAATCAGAGAGTGATGGAGGGAATCCGAGGGCAGAGACGGGCATTTCTGAGTGGAGCACCGGGCTCTTCAGCTGTCTGCTGCCAGCCAGCCGAGTGTTTAAGAGGTATTAGCAGCCCAGCGGGACTCTGACAAAGATGGATGTGGGAGGCTGGTCAGGCTCTGCTGCCATGCGGTGAGAACCATTATAAATACAAGCCAGCGTGAGGCCTGGGCGCGGCAGGCACGCAGCAGCACAGCCATGTCTCCATTAGCAGACACCGTGGATTGGCACCACAGGGTGGGCAGAGATGACCACTAGGACACCCCGTTTTTTAATACTAAGCTCAAAGTCCCAGGGTTTGCTAATATGGCCGTTACGTTACACACAGCAACAAGTCTCTGTTGACATCGTGTGCATATGTGGTTGCAATCCAGTTTCCTACAGCAATGGTGGCAAATGTAATCGCATCAAGAGAATCGTGCTCAGCGGTTACAAAAGTCCTGCATTAAAAACCTCCAGCAGCACCCTCGAGTACAAACAGTGGTGTAACAAACCCATAAAGCCGAGTGGAAAAGAAATAGCAAAGGAAGGAGCAAAAGTCTGTGTGTGGAGGTGGGGGGGGGACTCACATGTAAACTGGGGTGGTAAGTGAGGACGCCATTATCACACAGTGTGACATATTTCTTTTTCCACTCCTTGTTGAGGGATTTGCCACTTCGCTTCAGAAGGATTCCCTGTAAGAGACAAGCCATCACGGTGAGCATATGCTCCTCTCAGAGCAGCGCGGTCGATGATATGAGCCATTATGGATGTTAAATACCATAAAACAGTGCTGTTATTGTTATTACAGATTTGTTATTGCGCTTTCATGGAGAATTTTCTTGGAGGTACACCATAAAGCAAACAAACATCATATTAAATGACAATTATGAAACAGTATGGAAGTAATTACATTAAAAACAGTTTGGCAATTACCTAACAATTGCAATTAATCTCTTTCTGTTATAGCTCGGCGGCTGACAGGTTTAATGAAATGCTGCTTTTGCTTCTGCGCCCTTTTGAACCTACAAAGCTGGACAAGTTCCTCTGCTATAGGGACCATTCAGAAACAGAGACAATCCAATTTGCCAGACCTCCTCCCTGCATTCATGCACATAACATGCTGAACTCTGGAAGACCCCTCAATCCTGGGATTAGAGAGTGTGATCTACCCTCTTCAAAGCCCACTCATCTCTTATTCTATTCAACTTTATCTTCTGGGGCCTTTTAAGGCCTCACAAGGTTTCCTTATCTGTTTAGTAAATCCACTAGTAAACAATAGAGTTCCACTGCTGGAGGTGACCAAAGGCTGCTGAGTGCAAGGGCCAGGAGGCTCTCTCTGAGGTTAAATAGTGAGGAGGGGCCTGCTTAATTAGGGGATTAAGTCGGGGCAATGTTTGTGCTTTTACAGCCCGGCCCTGTGTGTGTGTGTGTGTGTGTGTGTGTGTGTGTGTGTGTGTGTGTGTGTGAGAGAGCTGAAAAAAAGGGGGGTCAAAGGGGTAGTGTTTTGCTAGTAAGGACCATCCTGCAGGCTTTAATCCTGATTAACACATCAGGAAGAGCTGACCCTCGGTGACCTGGGCACCAGGCTGTTTGCCGACAATCATCTTAATCCAGACCCTGATTCATCTGCCACGACCCTCCACCCCCCACAAATGAATCCTGACTGTCCTGACAACTGGGCTGTACGCTGGTGCTCATAACTACAGGCTTCATATCCTATCAACAAATCTGCATCTGAAATAATTGAATTTTACTTTACAGAGTAGAAATAACATTTTTATAATGAAAAAAAGAAAATCCAAATGTAAGCTTTGAAAAATGAGGGAGCAGGCCGGCTCTGTCAGATCCCGTACCACTGGGTACAGCCTGTTGTTTATTAAGATGAAGTATTGCTGAATTACTTGTACTGGAATACATTTAAGAACCCATAAGTTTTCAGACAAGATGAATCAAAAATGAGAACAATATTTTGAAACCATTTAAAGTTTTGATGGAAAATGAGGACAGGGAAAACACAGGCCATTAAATTAGAATTTAAACTATATATATTTTTTAATATTCAAAAGCCACTGTTAACCCTTTTGTAACTATTCATACTTGAAGAGGATTTTTTGTCCAGGAAGAAACTTGTGTCCTTTTGATCGATTAGTTGCTGACTGCCCGGGCTCTCTCTCAATATGGTCAATAAAAGAACTGTAAACACTTTTTAAACGTGTCTTTAATCATACAAAGTAAATGATGCAGTCAGAGGGCCTCTAGCAACTTTATAATGCATGTTTTACAAGCAAATATGTTCCTCATCTTGTGGCCTTACTGAACCATACACAAATCTATACACGCAATCAGTGTGGAGCTTCAAATTATTCATCAGAGCCGTGAAGCAGATCGATAAAGATGCTAAGGCAATTATGCGAAAATCTACACATGCACACTAATTCTTCTGTTATTTTATGTGAACAGTTGCCCATTACGACTGTGATAAATATCATCATAGATCAGGTCACTTTCAATAACTGGAAGCCTGACATACGATTTAATTGAATTAATCATCGGGGCTCTGTCTCAGACTAGAAAATGGGATAGTGTGACATCACGAGGAGAGGTGCGGAGTCCAGCGCTTCCCCTCGACACTGACGTACACATGAGGGTGCGCGCGCGCACACAAAAGGATGAGTGTGTCAAGCTTGTGCGACACAAGGAAACGGGCCAGTTGTCAGACGCGCTCTCTGTGTCCACACAATTGTGATATCTACACAGAGGAGATAGTGTCTTTCTCTCCTTTTGTCAGATTACCAGGAGGAAAGCTGCAAACTGCCACTGTGGCTGACTGATAGGCCGGCCCTTTGTGACACACCAGGAGAAGGGAAAAAAGTGTGTGTGCTGGTGTGTGGGGGGTGAAGAGCTGCTGACGGCTCCTCAGCAGTGAGTGCATTGTTATCCTCACTCACCATTTTTATAGATAGAAAGTGTGTGTGGTGTGTGTGTGGGGGGGCATGCAATGTGTAATTTGGCCTGATGGTGTGAGGGTGAGGGGTGGGGGCGCGGGGAGTGGTGGTAATTAAGCTCACATTGATACTTTGATCTCCTTGATTGTGCATTTCACTGGCCTGGAGATCAGCTAGTCAGTCCCCCTCCACATGCCTCCCCCACCACCACCACACACACACACACAAAAACACTCCATCCGTCCCTCCACATCTGTATCTGAACTGCATCCCTACCCATCCAAAAGAAGGAGTGTTTTTTTTTTTCTTTAGATAAAGCATCGGTTCTGATCTTGCCAAAAGTGGCTGCGATACTCAGGGAAATTGGCTGCGCACTTTAGAAAGGAGGTCCCACTAATGCACGGGCTAAGACTGAAAGAGTTTACACTAAAGATTGCTCTGAGGGGGATTTCGTTTAATCTGTGAAAATCAAACTCCTGATCACCTGTGGACTAATGAGCGTCTGCAGGGAATTACACAGATCTACAAAAACGCAGCCACTTCGCTGAGACCTAAATTACATCTTTGTAGAACAGCCATCATGAAGTATTAAACATTTTTAAAGGTGCTTTTAGCTGTTCTCAAGCTGCTGTTCTCAGACTCATAATTTGAACTCGTATTGCTGAATAAAAAAATAAATAAAAAGCCTTATCCATTACACAAACAACTATCGTTGCCCACGGAGTGATCACCTCATAGCCAACTATTTCTACTTTAAACACAAAGGAACGTTTTTGATTAAGAAAGCATCACCCTGCCATTATTTCAGCTAGACCCAAAGCCTTGGCAATTTTCTCCCACAGGGAACGAGGAGGTCTGGCAAAACATTTTCGAAAGAAAGGACAGTGTCCTCTATCAGCTGCAGGTAAAGATGATAATACAGGAATGCTGACCTATTTTCAAAAGCCCTCATATAATCAGGAGTGATTACTAATGAATGTACCATTTACTCCTCCTTACAGTCGGACCTTTAGAAACGATTTAGAAAACGCTTTATTCGGTGGTTTGCTGCTGTGCATCTGTTCCATTCACTGCAGCGTGTGACTAAAACAAATATAATATAGGGAAACAATAAAGAAACACAGGCACCAAAAAAAAAATCAATAAATAATGACAAGATTTTTTAAAACAAACCAATGGCTCAAAAAAATCAAATAAAATGCCGCCATAAAAAAATGCCTATTGGGACAATATATAGATATGAATGAATGAACTAAATATTAGTTCAGCACAATCAGGTGGAGTCAGTGGTTCAACTACAGGATTATTGCTCACTGGATTGGAGTCATCTACAGCTGACAGACATGTAAAAAAATGAGACTGACCCTAAATAATGTTCTGAGATCCCGTAAATATTTGTTTAGTAGCCACAGTCAAAACAAGATATATCCTTTAAGGAACAGCTGAGGAAAAACACAAAAATCTTTATTATCGACTAACAAGCCTTAAACTGTGACTGGAAAATTGCAGTACACAAAGTTGGATGTTTTTTTAAACGATGGTGCTTTAAATATAATCTATAAATTTATAGTTGCTGCTCAGAAAAATCACACATCAAATATTAATGTTGATTTCTTTTTTTCCTGACAGATCGTGTCATTTGCTGAGAACAAAATGACTCAACAATGGTCAAAGGTAACCAAACTCATCAGTTCTCCAGGGTTTAAAATTTCTGCCTTAGTTTTTTGGAAGTGTACACTTTGATAGGTGTGCGTGTGTGTGTGTGATTTCCATATCATAGTGGTAGTGGTGCCTGCTTGTAAAGCATTTGTTACATTGGGTTGTGCTGCCATCTAGTGGATTTTGTAGCATACGGCTTTTCTCCAAAATCACTGAATATAAAATTACTTTAAACCTCTACTCAGACCAAAGAAGCCATACTTACCACAGGAACTGTGGGAAATGTAGTTAAAAAGGGTTAGTAAGACTGCTTACCTGTTTGATAGGTATGGCCCTTCCACTGCCTATGCTGTCTGTTTTACTGTCAACGCTCTTTGCTTGTTCACTGGCTTTCCGTGACTGCAAGGAAACAAGAAAGTCAGTCAGACACCGAAGCGACGCACAGAGCACGAGATGGGAGCCGTGGGGGTATGAGGAGAATTTGGGTGGGGTCGTGCGTGTTGGGGCGTGTGTGCGTGAGGGCAAGAGACTGGGGGTCAGAGGGTGTTTGGAACATTTGCTGTAAACTAAGCGTTGCAAAATAAAAAATAGTCTCAAAAGAAGCCTCAAATTAACAGACAAGCAGACCAGCAGAACAAACAGCATTAACACCGACGTGCAAGTCAAAAAATGAAAATAAGAAATTTAAAGAAAAATAGAGACCAAACCAAGACCACACTGGACACATCTCAACACAGAGGAGACCAGAGACGACCACACATTGAGTCATGACTCAGCCCTGAAACCCTTTGGTAGATCCTTCCCTCTGTCTGAGACCCAGAGCGGGCCCTTAGTGGACCTGCAGACCACCTGCTGCTGTACCCACTGCAGCATCAGCTGTGCCTTTCACATAGTCAAATAATAAGTGCTTGTATAGCACGATCAAAATGTTAAACGTCATAACAGGTTAGAAAGGAAAGAAAGGAGAGTGGTTATTTTTCTTTCTCTCTTTTTTTCTTTTTTTAAAAAAAAAAAAAAAAAAAAGGCTTTGGTAGTATTTCTTCCTCCAGCCTGCAAAACCTAGAAGGACACAAAATCAATCTGCCAAAGTCAGACAATTTAAGTGTCAGAGAAGTTAAAATACATCAGCATGAAAACTCCCGGGAATGCCTGTGGAGAGGGGGGAAAAACCCAGTGGTACAGCGACTGAAACTTGACATGAAACAGTTTAATCATAACCTTCCCACCCCAACACAAATAAAGAGATGAGGTACAGGTAGGGACAGACATGAGTGTGTATGGTCTCACTCAGAACATGAGAGATGTCCAGTCACCAATGGAAAAGAGGTAGTCTGAGTTCAAGTAAACCAACTCTGGCGTTTATATTTTTTTCCAACATTTTATTTTTTTTTATGATGACTTGTTTAGCTTCTATACAGACACCATACAAAGCAAGTCACAAAGTCACTTCAAAATATTCAACAGATTGAGCCAAACATTGCAGTTCCCACAAAATATAGGATGGACAGTTATTTCATATATTCCTTATATGTATGTACTTTTTATAGAGTACCATTGTAAATAAAATACAATACAAGATATACAGCAGTCTATATTTTTGTCAATCCATTCATGATAGAAAAGCGATTATGCAAGAGTTCATAATCTCTGTACCAAACCTAAACCGAGGAAAATGAAAAGAAATTAAAAAATAAATTAAAATTGAATCTGCAAAAAAAAAAAAAAAAAAAAAAAAAACCCAACCCAATAAATTAAAAATAAATAAAAGGAAAATAACTGTTAAGTTTAACTACATTCATACAAGTCGGTGCAACCCAGTTTCATTTGTTTTTCGTATATTATGCCTCTGTATTACCTCAACACCCTGACGATCTACACTAGTTTTTATGAAGGCCTTCATAAAATTTACCCCAAACTGCTTTAATCTAAAATACCTCTGCGCTAATACCTTTAGATCACATTTTCAACATCCATTCAGCACTTCAAAACGTCCTGGAAAAGGAGAGCGAGTCAAATAAAAACAGACCAAATGAATCGAGGAAAATCTAAAAGGAAAAAAAGAACAACAACAAACAAACAAAAAAAGAACAACAACTTGGCACCTCTAGTCCTTGAGTCCTCATTTATGGCAAAAGGCAGCGTGATGTCATGTAAGGAAAAGGTTGTGTCCTTTAGGTGGCTGGGTAACAGTTCCAAAAGTGACTCGACTGTACAGCATGTTTTTTGTTTTTTTGTGTGGCGTGTCTGAATGAGAGCACGGGGGAGTGAGTAGAGGGTGGGGCAGGGCAAAAAAGGGGGTGGATGGGGCATTTCCACAAGAGTCCCTACAGTTTGTCTCATGCTGTGATATTAGACCGTCTACTCTGAGTGCACTCAAACACTTGAGTGGACTCGACTTTAGGTTGCATTTGACGCAAAGTCCTACGTTTTCCACACGTTCTACGCATTACCCGAAATGCAATAGGGCACTGAGGGTAAAGCAGCAACAAGCTGAAAGTCCTCAACCAATAATCTCCTCTCTATCAGGACTGGCAAAGCAGGGGGACTCTTTTTTTTTTTTCTTTCTTTTTTTAACCATCATGCTCTTCTAATTCGGAAGGAGTTGGAAAGCCCTTTTTGTTGAAGAAAGGTTGGAAACAGAAGCACAAATCTGCAAATATTAAAAAACAGTGTCAAATGAATATTGTTTGTGTTGTTGTTGGAGTTTTGTTTCACACGAGAAACAAGTTCAGGGACTGAAATACAGAATGGAGAAACACTGAATGGCGGACATTAATAAATGGGTCGAATGAATGATGGAATTAAGTATAAAAATGCTGTAATATTCATTTATATTCCTCAATAGTGTGCTTTTCAACACAAAAAGGGGACAGACAACCTGAAGACCTCAGGAAACCACAGACAGACTACAAAACACATTGTTTAGTTATTGACTATGGAAGCACTAGGAAAGAATAACGTGTACTGTGCTGACACCTAGTGGCCAATGACAGTTATGGTGGAAACTGGCTTGAAATGATTGTGGTTTGGTGATTTGTGAGGGTGGTGAAAAGACGGAGTGATAAGATCTTCTGATGTAAAGCTTTGAGTTTTATTTACTTACTTTAAAAAAAAATCTAAATGTATTAATGCAAAGCACTGATCTATTTCAAGGGGCTTTTTCTTTTTACGTAAACCATATCTGGTATATTTGGAGCAGCATTATCTAAGTAAACTGCACAATGCAAAGGATTTTTCTTCATTTTTAAGAGTCCCAATGCCAGTGCCATGATTGTTACATGTGTTACTATTATCTCAGATTTATAACAGGACCGGACCTCGTATGTAGTGACTAAAGAGAGTCTATTGTTGATCTGCCAGAGCTCGTCTACCGATGACATTAAGGCATTTTTCTGGAGAGCTTCTCTTGAGGCCTTCTGAGATTTGCTTTACAATCTACTCACCTACTTTCGAGATTGTGCCTGGCAACCTGCGATCTACCAGCAGAACTTTTTGTGAACTTGTAACACAGATACCAATTTCTTTTTTAAGACGTGCAAAGCTAGGAAAGGAACATCCTCGGCATTGTTGTGTTGATGAAATATTTTCTCTTTCTGCTGTTTTTCGTAAAATGGCAAGGAGGTTTTTGCAAAGCAAGTCTTCCTCTCCTGAGCCCATTGCTCTCTTCGAGTGTCACTGAAGAAATGTCGACATCGCCCCGTCAACTTTCCGTCCCTTCCTCCTCCTCCTCTCCTCCCTCCCCCTCCCTCCTCCCTCCCTCGGCTCGCTGCTCCTCAGAAGGTCATGAGCTGAAACTCCCGCTCGGCTTGCCACTCTGGCACCCACACTGGGTAGGTGGCGTGCTTCGGCATCTCCATGACGCGGACTGGGAGAGGCTCATTTCTCTGGTGGACATGGTTAGTCACTACCTAGCGGGGGGGAAGGGAGACAACAAGGGGAGCTAGCACACAGCCTGTACTGCTCGGTGGCCACAAAACCTGCGGCTCCCCAGCAGCTGGGGCAACAAGATGAAGGCGGTAGGACAAATAGAGGAGGGGAAGGGATAGATCGGGGAGGGTTAGAGAAGGAGTTGGTTAGAAAGAGAGGAGAGAGGAAATAGGAATGAGATGGGAAACAGGTGACAGCAAGAGGTGAGAGGGAGGTAGATTGGTGAAAGAAAGGGGATATGACTGGGAGGGAGAGGGAAAGGGGTAATCTCACATAGCCTGATCTGTCTCATAAAGCTCAAAAAGTTCTGCAGAGAAAAAATTGAAAACTTGGATACAAAGATGGCATGTGAATGAGACACTGGTTTCGCAGGGGAATTTGTTTTTCCCCAACCAGGGAACTTTAGAGAATTGTTTGTACTGATTTTAAAGCTTGCTGATTTGTACTTTTTTTGCAGACCTCCCTGAGCTTAAGGAGGCCCAGGTCCGGCTAAGCGAGTTTAGGATAGGCTTAGCAGCAAAGAAGAAGGCTGGGAAGAGAAAAGGGGGAGAAGGGGAACAGGCTGGGTAGAAAAACATGGCAGAGGCTACAAGTAAAAGACAAGCTTAGGACAGCTAAGGAAATTAGAGTGGTTAGTGCACACATACGCTATCGGTTAGGGCAAAGGGCAAATGTGACAGGACATGGGGTAAAGAGCAGGCAGACAGGGGTGTCGGGATACTGGTGTGGTAGTTAATCTTAGCGATCGAAATCAAATGTAAAATGGGGACTCAGCAAGTTGATTAGTGGCCAGTTAGAGCACTTTCTGTCTGAAGCAGGGGTGCTAAGGGTGCCAGCATGCATTATTAGCAGCGTGTAAACGGGCCACAGGTTGGCTGGGATTTTAAAGTTTAGCTTGATCGGGGCAGGAGAAGTGGCATTGGCGGTTTTGTCGCTGCCGTCTCTCCCCCAAAAGGGAAGTCACTGCAAAGAAAGGATCTAGCAAAAATAAGAGGGGTAGGGGGAGGGAGGTCAAAGATTTAGACAGCGCAGAGGGCCCAGTTTGTTATGGGTGAGATGAGGAACTTAATTCATGTGCACTCACTACATCCAATTAGAAAAGAAAAAGGACATGAAAAGAGTTAATGTTTTTCTTCCACAGTGTTTATCTTTGATATTTGCTTTAAGGTTTCATTTTATTTCTTTATTTTTTTTTCTTTTTTGGTGCATTTCAGGGATTTAATGAGATTTATTTTGTCTTTTTCTCCTTTGCCCATTGTGCTGTGTGAACAAGACACTGTCTTTGCCTGCATCGGAGGCAGGAGAGGTGGCTTTTTTATGCATTTTGAGCTACCTGTCTCCCTCTGGTGGAAAAAGTGCGCTCGGCAACATGCCTCCTAGTAGTGTGAGTGGGTGTTGCTTTGCATCAGCTGTCGCATACTTACTGTGAAAATGTTGGAGCGGCGCTTTGACTGCTTGCGGATGGGCGTGGGCGTGTTGGAGGCAGCGATGGTCTCAATGCGCATCTCCCGCTGACTTATGCTGGGGGTGGAGGGAACGGAGGAGGAGTAGTCGCTGAATGCACCCCCACCATTGGCCGCCTGGGGAGCGAGAGGGATTAACACGAACCGACAGAATCAGAGGAAAAGCGGGAGGAAAGAAGAGGAGAGAGGATAGTAAAAAGAAAAAAGGAAAAGAAAAAACAACAACAGGGGAGACAGAACCAGGTCAATTTAGGAAAAATATGATGTGGACAAAATTACCCACTCACTAACAATACAACCAATCACCATGAGAAGAATTACATAAACTGGAGATTTTTTACATATTCACGTGGAGGATTTAAGTGTGGGCTGTGAATATCTGGATCTTACCTGGTTAATGTGAACAGAGGGGATCGATGCAGCGGGGACTGATGAGTGGCTGGGAGAGTTCGGGAGTGATTTGCATGGACCAATAGAGAGCTGCTGCTTTTTCCTCATGGCCACAACCTTCTGGGCAACTGGAGGCAAACACACAGCAAGATACGGTCAACTAGTCCGGTCAGCCAACCTTGGGAGAGTTTTTAGGGATTTAGTGGGTTACACTGTGAGAATGTGAAACCCAGGATCACGTGTGATGATGCAGAGTAGCTCGGTTGCTGAGCAACAGTGGGAAACCTCAACGAATTCCTAGACAGAGAATTCCCGTTCTTCAACTTCAGGTTTAACAGGTGGTCTCTGCGACAGTCCAGAATAAATATGCCATTTAAGCCAAAAAATATAATGTTCATGGGAGTAAAAACAGAAATAAAATGAATTTTTATTATGTTTAACATTTATGGAGTTTAGGTTTTAGTAAAATACTTTAAGTTTTAGGGACATAACAGAACCAAAAGCCTCTTTCTGGACCCATAGCGCTCCCTTTTGAGCTTTTGTGTCAGCTGTTTCTGAAGCAAAAGTTTTTGTTTTAGTTCAATGGTTTTAGTTCAGATGTCTGTTATGGTCACTGAACAAAACTGAGTGCCTTCGAGGGAATGCGTCGGCTGATAGGTTGGTTACAATATTTACAACCAATCAGCACACGTCAGCGGCATCCTTGTGTTTTACAGACAAAAACTGACAAATAAACCTGACTGTTTTTATTTCGATTCAGACATCAAATCAAACACAAAAATATTATATTTATTAAAATTGAAGAACACTTTGGGGTTTTAGCTCAGTTCACTCACTATGAATCTCCTGAGACTCGAGCTCTTGTCTGAGATGCTTTTTTAAATTTCTCCCAGTTATTTAAGTAGTTGGACCTGATAAGTACAAAAACCAACTTCCTCTTTGAACAGGAAGCTGTTACTTCATTATAGATCCTCTTGTTATTAAACAAACAAAAAAAAAAAGAGTATGTCCTCATATTGGCACAATGGGTATCTTTTACAGCATAACACAATAAAGTCATTGCTCAACAAAGTGCGAAAGTAAAAGGTGCAGAAAAGACTAGATCTAATCTCCCCATATGAGTGCACGGGGTCTAAAAGAGATTGAGGAGTGCCCAAATAGACTGTCCAAAACAGTACAATAAGATTAACAGGAATTGGCTCTGGCAAGCTACCAGTCTTAGACATGACTGTAAGAATGTGTTTCAGGTATAAACCAGCTACAGAATTATAAAAAGTTAGAGAAACAGTTTCACTTTGGGATATGCTAGTAGCAGACATAATTTTCTATTTTAATTATAGTAAATAGCAGATTGATGCATTTACTTGCATAGCTTTCTTTCAAAAGCTATTAAAGGTCGCATGTATGTAAAATTCTCCACTCTTTCTTGACAGCATTAGAGCAAGAGATAGAAGAAAAACTACATCAGGCATCTCACCTTGTGACTGCTGTAGATTTGGACTACAGCATCACAACATTCAGTCTTAATGCAATTCAAATGCCAAAAAAAAGTCTTTGTAGAGTAAAAGCAATGAAAGAAAACTAGCACTCCCAACTACGCACATTATCTAGACCTCCTCGGGCCATTTGTTTTCCAGGCAGGTAATAAGGAACATACTGCTTATGCATGTCTCCTGGGACAATAAGGTTACCAAGAAAAGTAATCATACAAAATGACTTGCTTTAATTTTTTTTTGTCATTCATGGAGCTCTATAGTGTGATGTTAGCCAAATGGAACTATTGTGTCACAGCCTGATTGGCTATGCTGGTGGTGGCGTAAACCGTTCATTTGCTGCACACGCGACTGGGTGGAGCGCGAGACGTCGAAGGAGGGAGGTGATGTTCGGGGCTGCGTGACGTGAATTAGCATTGAGGGAAGGGGAGATGATCTGAAGTCGTGCTGACAGCTGGGACCATAACACCCGGCTGCCTGCTGCAGCATGGCAAATACAGAAAGAGGGTGCGAGTGATACTGGGCGACTTCTCCAGACAGCCAGCGCTCCCTTCATCTCTTTTAATTATTTCAAATTGAGCTTCAGGAAGCAATTAAGGCAGGGGGGGGAAGACAACGTCCCTGCGCATCAACAGTCAGTTAAATGCAAAGTGAACACAGCGTTACATATTCAGATGTTTTCTGAAGGGATGACAGCCTTTCAAAAGAGCTGCCGCCCGAGGGGAAAATGTGCCAGAGTTGAAGCAGCCGAGTTTCCAAATAACAGTTTCATGACTTCAATTATGGATTCAGGGAAAAACTCAAGAGTTTCCAGAAAGTTGAAAAAGAGACAATATACAAGATGGTGCTTTTCCGCCATTTATGCCGAACTGAATGAAGTCCACATTTACATGCGAGCCTTGATCATGAATCTAACTTCCACAATGACTAATTGCAGTACTGACAATCATATGTTACTGAATGTGAAATATTATAGTACTTTGCATGTAGCCTGAGGTAAAGAGAAACAGAGAAACAACTGTCATTATGGAAATTTCAACACAAATTCTTCTCGTCTTTACAAAGTTACACGGGAAAGCAAGGAAAATGTTGATCCAAGTTTATTGAGTTGATCCAACATTTTCCCATGTGAGGGAGCGGCATCACACCGTGGAGGCTGTGCATCAGGGGGAAACTGGCTGACATTGGCAGACTGGCAGCTGGACCTTCCAGGCTATAAAAATGTGCTTATTCCCTCAAACCTCCTGTTCCCTTCATTTTTTTTTTTTTTGCACCTTTCAGCACCTCCACAGCAAACAGGACACTAATAACTAACACTAATAAGGCCGACTTGTGAGTTTCAGCTTTATTAAGTTACATTGGTTTTGAGAAAAACTCTTCTGTGAATGCCCTCCCTGCCAGTTTGAGCCAGTTCCAGAGGGTGTAATATAAGGGTTACACTAATTACTAGGCTCGTAGTTTTGCAAATACAAGTTATACCAAATTGGACCGTGTTTCCTAAAATTGGAAGGAGGTGACAAGATTGCATATCTTAGTCGGATTCACACAAAATCCGGTATTTGAAAAACTGCAATTTAAATGTTTCTTCAAGAAACTGTCAAGAAATCCTAAGTGGAAGTCTGAATGTGGAATTGAAATGAGGCTAATTTAAATGTTTTGCCTGCAATGGAACCTGAGAATAAGGCAATTTAGATGAAGGTCATTACAAACAGCAAAAATGTAAAATGCCTATCCAAAGTTTGCAACATTCCTAAGCATATATCCTTACATTTGAAGAACTAGTTTATTCTAAAATTAGCAAATGCTGACAAGTGTTTGCTCTTTCGACTGACTGAAGCGTTGCAGGATAAACAACCTACTAAGTATATCGAACTAAAAGTGGGCTGTAAAATAAAACGTCATTACATTCAAGCTACACTTTACACCTTCCTGTTTAACCTATCTGCACTTTTAAAACACCCCCTCTCACCGTCCTGGAAGACTCTCTCCACATTCAGGCCGTAGGTGGAGCAGGTCTCGTAGTACGTGCAGCGCTTCAGGTCATTTGACAACTTTCTGGCCCGTGAGTCATCAATCACTCTGGGGTTGGCAGCACTGATTGCATCTAGCAGAAGAGAGCAATAAAAAAAAAAAAGATGTGGATCAAACATTTAATTCCATAAATGAAGCTGGCAATACCCAGTGTCAACAGCTTTCACCAAAAACCCCCACAGAGAAGTCCCGAATATATACTCAGAATCTGAAAGACGCCTACATATTTCCATATTTCCAAAACTGATGGGTACTGATGTGCAACAGCGTGCTTTGCTGGTGTGTTTTAATGATCTGTGGACAGCAACAGAGGTCCGTTTTGCACAAAAACAAATCGGCACTCAAACCACAAAAACTGTTTTGGTCTTTTCCTGACTTTTGTTGACATTAAGATATAAATTCAATATACCTCACTTATTAAAGAATAGCATATAACAGCTATAGTTTCATTATGTAAGAGGCAATAAAGAACATTTGTATATACATATCAGATGCAGGGCAAGCACCTTGTGTTCCAACGAGAACCATGGGGACCTCTGCTGTGTTCCTGTAGCTGGAAAGGCGCAAGAAGTAATTGTAGACCGTCTGGAAACTGATCTCATCCTCCAGGCTGAAAACAAAAACCACTGCATCCACCCAGGCAGCAAACTGAGGGCAGAGCAGAGGTAATGTGTTAAAGAAAAAAGCTACCACAAGAACATTTGCACAAATGAACGTTTGCATTATTATCGCTGATGCACTGACCACAAAAATATACTATTTTTATTTTATTTTAAAAGGGATAATGGGAGACAGGGATGGAAACCATTATTTGTTTTAGCTTTTATGAATACATTTTACCTTATAATAGGTTGCAGCACTTTTACTGTTATTGTACTTCATGTATATCTACACAAGGGGGCAGTGTAGCAACAATCTTAGGACACTGAAACATGTTTTTAGGCAAGATACCAGACCAAGGTGAACAGACTGAATGAATAATGATTACTACTGAATGCGTATCTGCTTTCTTTATCCCCACAGCTACCATAATACAGGAAAATGTGTATTTTCTGTGTCATCTCTATATATATCAGAATTTCTGGTTAGTTTATGATCCAACAGGGAGCAGAGCGAATCAATCTGATTCAACATCCACAGCAGGAAATACGCTAAGCTGACTCCACAGTCCTAGTAACGGTGACAATCAAGTGACAAACTATTCTCCTGTAATGCCCTCTTCTTTATTCAGCTTTTACGTTTGCCCAGACCCCCACAGGGACTGAATGGCAAATCGAGCTTCCAAACCACAACTGTGCTCAGCCTCCTGCGAGTGGGAACATAATGGAGGCCTTTAATTATGCCAGTAATTATACAGGCAGCTGACAACTGAGCTGCACTCATTTCTATTCCCTAATCTCGCCGAGCGTAATGCAAGCGTAAATCGGAGCTTTGCCAAGCCAGGCATCACTAGCCACTAAAACAACTGCAGGGTAAATACACCGGAAACACTGAACCCTGTGAATGAAGCCACAAGCAAGTTTGTCTATATTCTCCGGGGCTGGTGGTTTTGATACTTGGGCCTTTAATTGAATCCGATTATTACATTTGAATCTTTTTAAATCCCTCATCAAATCTATGTAAGCTTAGCAACAGAAAATATTAATAACATTGCAGTTAGAAGAAAGACTCACGTGAGAGAGTTTATTTACTTTAAGGGTGCAAAGTAACTGAGTACATATTACTCAGTGTATAAAAAGATGTTGTGACTAGCCAACTTGGGGCCAATAAGTATAACCTGTGAACATAAAAAGTCAATTAATTTGTTTCTGATCACCAGGCAAATGGGTCCTGTTTCATATAAAGCCTTCTACCTGCTAAATGTGCCCCTGTGTGTTTGTTGCTAACACTGCTCAACTGTTGTTTAGTGCTGGGGTGTTTAGTATACACTGGGCTTATCACAGATTCTGCTTAAAACAGCTGCCTGCTGCAGCTGGAAACCATGCTGGTGAGAATGGGAAGAGTGAATCCTAATGTCTAAGAAGTGGGCAATAGAACCAACGTTAAATCTGTGAGTTTGTAATTATGGGTGACCACAAAGCATGTATTAACTTTGTAACGCCAAGTGTATCACATCTGACACGTGTTTTTTAGACCTTTACATCAGTGTGATTTTTTTCTAACCCTAACCCCTTTTATATGTTGTTATTGGTTTAAGACAGGAGTGTCAAACAGAAATCTGGGGGCCAGAATCAGCCCGGTGAACACTTCAATCCCGTCCATTAGATGACTTTTGGAAGATGTTAAGTACATATGAAGTACAAATGTTAAGGAGGACATAAAGTTTGGACTTTTTATTATTCTGTTGTATTATTATTATTTAAAAATTAGTTAGATGGGTTAGCCAGAAGTTGGCCATCTCTGTGTGCAAATGTGGCATATCAGGGCACTTTAAGAAAGTCATCAAATTTCAAGCTAAAAAAAATGGCCTTTATGGTATTTTTACTGCTGTCAAATGGAAAAAAAACATAAATAAGGGTTAACTTTACTTTTTTTCTTATCTCACTAAAATTTAAGGAATCTATATTTGTTCTTTGTCCATGTCATCAAACACTATGTTTCAAGCTTGTGTTGCTAGAAGCCCGACTTTGTACAGTAAGGAGTGTGACGACCCCTGCCCCTTGTTTTCCCAACCCTTCCTCCATGTGTTCGAGAGCTTACGGCCGCTAGGCGACAAAAAGGTACCGTAGATGTCGTCACATTCCTCTGTGACCTCATGAGGAAGTCATCAGTTCAGATAAGTTTATAAGTAAAGCTCCGCCAGCTTTGAATGAGTCAAGCTCTTTGGACGTGTTCATTGGCCGGACATTACGTCATGAAACAGCAGTTTTTCAGTTACAAAAACAGGTGTCCCATGAGTGCCAATTAGCCAATCACTGACATGGGCTGTAGTCAAGCTTTGTGCCACAACAGCGATATTAAATTTAAACGGCCAGTGCATGTTTGTTGTTGGCACCCCTGAGGCACAGCAGTTAAACGAAGGAACAGGCTAAACTCACGGTTTATGCAGCTGTATAACAGTGTGGTGCCATTAGCATGCATCAAGGTGGACTTGAAATTAGGTTACATTCATGGGGTGGGAGGGGGGGGGGGGCACGTTAGTCTCTCATGATTGGTTATGGGAAACTGAATCCTCCCATCTATGGAAATCGGTCTGAGTAGAGCCTTGTAGGAGTGAAGGTGGAAACAGGGTGTAACAAGGAGATTTGTCAGATATCATGCTTTGCTGACACAAACAGTGCCAGTGATCACAGGCACTCCCATAATTAAGTGGATTTACTTATTCTACTTCAAGTATAAATAATAAAGTAGCATGACAATGTTCTTCTTACTTCTCTACTACATTTCTAACATCGTGCTTTACAAAGGAAAGCATTTTGATCATGATGATTGTTTGCCAGTGGTGCTATTTTCCTTTTGCAAATGTACTCTTGGGGAAAGCTGGGGAAACCTGCAGTCAGCTAAGACTGAAGAAGTCACGCGGATGAGCGATGAAATGTTTCTCCCACCGAAAATGCTACGTCCAGATGAACAGAATAAACTTTTTGGGGTTTCCTTACCTGGATGATTGATCAAGACATTGATGCTTCAGCTTCATAGTTTCTTAGACTGGATAAAGTATATAAATTGGAGACAGCCAATGTCACAAAGTCCTGCAGTAGCTCAAAATTGGGCCCTCCGTTGTTCACAAATAATCGAAGATAAGATTTTGATGGCTGCACTGTCATAACACGTGTCACAACATCACATTTTCTCCTAAAAATTAACCATAACTCTTCAGATTTCACATACTAATAAGATAATTAGGCGTTGTTTCTTTGACCACAAAAATCATCTCGACTTGGCTTTTGCATCGATCCGTTGTTGCTTTTGTTAGAACACCCACAGAGTGCTGTCTGCTCCAAACAGTCCTGTAGAGAAGTAATGGTCTGTCTCTAAGCAGGCTCTGTCAGCTTGACAGTTTCTACCCAGCAGCTTTTGATTAAAGAGACCTTTTTAAGGATCCTACCTGCAATTCTGGAGGCCCCCCTTCATCTCTGATCAGAAGTAAGTAGCTCTGTCCATCCACCACAATTTCTTTCTTGAAACGTCCACCTAAAGGAAGAGATGTTTATTCCAAGAGTTTACTCCACAGCCAGTCAATTAATCAAAGTGTAAATTGTCTGTTAGAACGTAAACCAACCACCAGGGGGTTGTCAAAAAAAAGGAAAGACAGCAGACACATTTCACACCCACTGATAATTTAAAAAAGAAGAAGAAGAAGAAAGCAATTGAAATGTATGGCTCTTAAAAGTTTGTTGATATGCATCTGAATTTAAGTGCAGCTTCTCAATTTAGACCTGCTGAACACGGTGTTGCCTGGATCACATGCTGACAGGAAACCAGGTCTCTCTGGAGCCAATTATGTGGGCGAGAAATTGCCATTTAGCGTGTCAAATGCACAGCTGCTGAGGGAACCAGTTCAGCGCCACTATCACTGCACTTCCATGAGTCACGAAAAGGCCCGACTTTTGCTTCACAAACACTCTCCGGCTAATTGTAATAAATGATATCTTAAGACAAATAGACTTCATTTTAGAAAAGATGATAAAAGGATGGAAAGGAAGCAATGGGAGATAAACATCAGAATCCAGTAAATGTGTCGTGACTCCGAAACTGTTCTGCTTTAAGTCACATCCCAGAAAAATTGGTGGAAAGTTAAGAACGTAGCATCCATACTGCCTTGAGTTTCTCTCCCCTTTTCTTCATTTCTTTTGTAGCCCAAATAGATTTTCCTTGCCGTTAGCAAAGCTGGCTGCAGATAAAGACTACACCAATGGGAGAACCACGCTGTAAATTAGATTTTGCATATCATTTGAATGGTTCTCGATCCTGTGGAGATTAAAAACATTGAAATGAGAAAGTTGTGAGGCTAGAGATGTCCCTGGGAGTGAAAACGATGTCTCATGAATACAAAATAATATGCCAAAAGCCGTTTCAAAAACTGAATAAGGCACACATTTAAAAAGGTCTACGAATGATCGTGAAATGTATCCCCCCCCCGAAAAAAAAGGAAAATTATGTTGAAGGCAGCAGATGTGTGCACTCCTGGAACGACTGAGTAAGAACAGGTTGGAAATCGTGTTGTTAAACTAGCCCACAGAACTAAAGATCACACATCAGAGGAGCTGTAAGTGGGCGGGGCCCCAGATTTTTTCTTTTTAATAGTCGGACACTATTCCTGTGTCAGCGTGCAGTACATATGCACTTGAGCCACACTTCCACGCTTTTAAGTCGATTTTAGCCCGCTCTGCAAATCGGGGATTCTCCCAGCCTTTTGCACGGGCTCTCAAAGCCTGCTGGATGCTGGTTGCATAACATGCAGAGAGAGAGAGATTCATAAACCACCAGTCAGCTTTTTATTTATTTATATTTTTCTACTGAAGTCAAAGCGCTTTGCAGATTCCGACAAAGCACTGAGAAACTATGCATCTGTATGTGTGAATGCTGATTGCATCAGAGCAAACCAAAGATTTATCAGAGAAAAGGGTTTGCATGGAAGCTGGCAACATGTTCGTACTCCAGAACGGATTATGGAGGAGACTCTCAGAAACCAGTATCTGTAATGAAAGCATACGGCTCTGGAGAAAACATGGATGGAAATTCAGAGCAAACATCTCAGTTACATAATCATCCAGAATGTCGTCGTCTCTATTTAGAGCCTGAATAAGCCAATGCTGTGAATAAATGAGGCAGACTACCTCACTCTCTCTTCCTGGCATGATGAAGACTAATTATGAATAATGTGAATTTGTGCTCAACGTCTCATAAAGGAGAAAAAAAAACAGGCGAGTGATAACGTTGCACACACAGCCTACAGAGAGACGGTGAGTTGGTAGGCATGGTTAACACGCAGTAAGCATACTGCTTACACGGAGGCTTAGACCTTGACACAGAGCCACAATCCAACGGAGCTCCATCCGGCGTTGCCATAGTAACACACCCCAGTACCTTTTTTCAGATATCATAGCAAAAGACCAGGAACAAAACAGTGAAGAAACAGCCACGGATGAACCTTCCCTCTGCTGGGTGAAGCTTCTCTGCAATGTTAATAGTCAGTCTGGAGTGAAGCCAGTGTTGAAGCGCAAGAAACAATGAGGTGCCCGGTGTTCGCCAGACAGGTACGTTGTATCAGAGCAACGATGTGAAGGGACACGGACATATATGAGCCGATACATTTCCCTGATTAAAGCAACAAGGGTCGATCTGGGTTTTTTTTCCTCCCCCAGCATTTCAGCCATTGATTTCTCAAGGACTAATTAAGCTATGAGGATTTTTTTCCTTCTCCCATGGTGCAGCAAAATGCCAGAAACTAATTATGCGCTTCATGTCTCATCCTCACTATAATTACACTAAAATGAAACACTGCAAACCCCTCAAAGATCATCAGTTAACTCTGGGTTTGCCAACATCTTGCTGGAATTTGTAGAGGACGCAGTCTTCAGGCCAGAGGGGGGCATTCTTGGTTTGTGTGTGTGTGTGTGTGTGTGGTGTGTGTATATATATTATATATATATATATATATAGGTATAGTATAGGTACATTACATAGAATAAAGCGATTCGCTTGTGTATGTCATATGCAAGTGCTTTTAAATGTGTAAAAAGCACCTGAGTGTGACAAAAACCTTCATTTACAGTGCCACTTTTACTTGCATGTTTTAGTAATGAGCTTCAAATTACTAGAAATTTTACATTTTGTCATTTTCCCTCCATTTTCAGTGAAGGGAGAAATAGAACTGAGCCAGTTATCAATCTCGCCATTTGGAAGCTTAACAAAATCCAAAACAAAACAGTTTAATGGAAGTTAATTATAAAAATACGCACAGAAGCGGCAAAAAAAAAAAAAAACCAGTGCTGTTCTTCATTATTTAAATATCCTATTACACTCTTCCAAATATGGTCACCCAACCGTCCCATCCTAACAGAAAGCTGACAAAACCAGCTTTTCACACATCGTCAACAATGTAATACATATGACAGGCTGCGGCAGCTGAGGCGCTGAGGTCAAAAGAGCCACGGTAAACATGCTGCATTTAATCTGCAATGCTCTGATCTTTGTGCTGGGCATCATGTTTGTAATCCACCTCCTGACCCACGCTTTCTTCAGCAGGCTCTTACCTTCAGGCGATTCCTCTTGCACATATGTCCCTGTCAAATATCGATGAACCAAGGCAGACTTCCCGCTGGACAGGTTTCCCACAATCCCCTGCAAGTCCAAGAGCAAAAAGCTATGAGATGATGTACAGGTTCAAGTGACCTGACAGAGAAAAAGAAAAAAAATCCTACCACAAAGGCACTGAAATTGCATAAACCGTGCTGTTTTGAGTTTTATTTTTTTATATTTTCTTTCCAAAAAACTAAAGCTTCAACCTCAATCATAAAGGCTTTGCAAGTTTTCAGCCCAGTGTGTGCAAATTGTGTGTGGCAAAAAGGAAAACACTGCATCAAGGTCAATAATATCAGAAATAAAACCATCTCCACATCTTATTTAATTCCTAATCTTTAGTTATGCTGCTAAGTCTTAAATCCTAGCTGTATGAGTCACTGAAGTTTTAGAGATTATTCTTTCTACAGAGACATACCATCAGAACTCAACTGAAAAATCAAAGACTGACGTTCTGGGCATTTTTATTGTGCATATATTTCAATGTGTGTGCATTTAAGAAGATAAGTAAAAAAGAAGAAGTGCTGCATTTAAGGCATCTTTGAAAAGACTAACTCTTTTTATTTTTACCAGTATGCAAGTTTCTTATTCAAAAAATGAAAAATGTAGTTTTGTGGGTGTGATTTTTCTATTATTATTTTTTTTACTCTTAAAATTGGTCAAGGTGTAATTATTTGAAAAAGTGATGAAACTTTCACACTAAACCTAAAGGTGACTCCATTTTTTTTAGCTTCTCTGCTAAGTAGATTTTTATTACACACTGGCCTGAAGTGAAAACAAGTGTTGGCTAGGTGGAAGAAAATCAAATTAAAAACTTTAGAAGGCAGTAGGCAGTAAAAGAAACTCCATATGGTTTGTGTTCAAGGGGGTAAAGGTCCCTTTCGTAGGACAAGTGAGTTTGAAATATTGTCCAAGTGCCTCTGATTTACACCCGACTTTGGTTGTAGTCTGTCCTGTTCTACCTCTCCCTGCCGTCTAGACCAGACCAAACTGCAGTGCCTTCGGGGTGATGCATGGCTGAGGGTGGGCTGACGATGCCAGCATGTCTGGGAAGAACAAAGACTGCAACATGCCTCATCTCCTCCCTCTCCAGCTCCTCCTCTACCCACCATCGCCCTCTCCTTCCACAGATCATTAGTGGGTGTTAAAGCAGGTATGGTTCTAATTATAGGGACGTTTGAGGCACAAGAGAAAAGGAGTGTTCAAGGTCTTTTCCTAGTCTAGCTTCTTTATAACTGAAGTATGTATATCATGAGGTACCCAGAAGAATAAGCTATGAATAAATTCAAAGTTAGCAAAAAGTTGTGGTGCTGTAAAAGCTGTGAGTCAAAAAAAAGGCTTTGAATGTGCCACAGAACCAGCATTCTCCTGCTGTTTAACTGCTGGGCTTTGTGGCCCGCTGGTATACAGGATTCATGATCTCGAAATGCTGTATCAGCATTATGCTACTACAGAACCTTCACTCTTCTTTGTAGACGTTTAGCTCTGATGTGAGATGATCAAAAGATGACAATAAAACAGGATTAAACCACAGTCAAGTCACCAGCACGAAATCAACAGTACCAGAGTACAGCTCACTGTTGCGGCAGAAAAAAAAATTAGAGGTTTTCTCACATGGTTTTAATCGTTTTAATTCATCTACAGGAATTGTTTTGACCCCTATTACTGTGGTATCAAAGAGGAAGAAAGCAAAACCTGCTTTTTTTCCCCCCCTATCGTTTTTAAAAGCTTCTGAGAGTTGTAACCAACTTCCTTTCAGCACGACCTTGTCGCTGCACGGTAACTCTGTGAAAGTTTTGAAAAGAATGATTACTATTTTTGCGACACTTAATTTAGTCTTACCGGGTCCATTTAACAAACCCCCGCATGGAAGCTGCCAATTAACACCTTAGAAACATAAAAAGCAACAGACGCATTTAAAAGTGTTTGAAGCCAATAAAGGAAGTTTGTCTTTGTGCTCGCTGTGAATCCCCCCATTGAAGTTTCCCCTTCTTCGAGGTGCCACAACAATGAATTCACCTAACACTGAAAATATCATATCCACTGGGAGAACGGCAGAGCGGAGCCTTTCAAGGCTGCTAGTCTTTATGTGGGGAAGGCATTAAATCATGTGAGGATGTTAGTAGTGCATTTGGCAGAGGTTGTGCGTGTGCTTCACTGGCGGGTGGGAGCGGACCCAGGATGTGTCACCGGCCTAGCCCAAAACTGTCACTCATCCTGTGTCCTGCTGCAAAACCACCCTGTATCGCCATGCCAACGCATCTCATTAAAAATCACCCACTATGTGCCAGGGAAAAAGTCCAGCCAATTTCTCAAATGTTCCCTCTCATGTGAAATGCAAAACTAGTATTACATGGCGAGAACATGCTTTCCCACTGACATTTAAATCTGTTAGTAAGATGAAACCTCTGAGGGCAAATTAACACCAGGATTGTCAAAAACAACAAAAAAAAGTTACTCACCACTTTCAGCTCCGGCACTGATCGACTCAATGTCCATTCCTGGCTGTTGACAAAAGAGTCTAAAAAGAAAAAGACAAATGAAGACGTAAATGACAAAAGCAAAAAGTACTAAGCGATAATATGCGTTCTGTTCTATTTGACCCCCAGCTATAATATGGCACCGACAGCTTTTGCTAGCGGCTGAATTTAAAGAGTCTGCAATAAGTTTTATGCTGAATGCTCCACCAGTCACATCAAGCATTTCGACTTACACAGCAGTCAATTACAGTAAAACATTTTTAAAGGAATTGTGGGGTTGTTGCCCTTTTTTAAAAAAAGATTTCCTGCACACATGTTAACCAGAACCACTGAATCAAAGTTTTATGGCAGATAGATAGAGCCAACTTTAGTGAAAAAGTTGTGTAGTTATGAATATATAGCCATTCGGCCTGTCGTGTTCTAATGTTTGTCCTTTTATTTTTACCTTTTTCCTATTTTCCCTCATTGTTCTTTTATCTTTCTTTAATTTCCCCCCTTCTTCTCTTTACCACTTCAACCCCTCCCTGCTTGTCAGCTTTGGCATTGCTAAATTACACATATCCTATGTGAATAATAATACAAATATATGAATTATTAAAACATTATTTATAGAGTTTAGGCAAACCAAATCTGTATGGCAAACAGTGCATTCAGATCATAATTATGATAATAAATGCTGTTGGACAAGACAGGTAAAAAAAAAAAAAAAAAATTTAAAAAAGTAGAATTTTTAAATAAGTAAAAAGAAAAAGATACAGTCATGCTGTGCTCTTGACTGGTGACCAATAGGACAGCCTCACATATGTCTGATTATGCATGTGCAACATGTGCACAGCAGCACAGGCTAATAGTTGCTCACAGCCATTACTGAGCTCTGAGGAAGACACAAAGTTGGGAGAAGTAAACCATGGAGGAACCGCCATGAAATGTTAAACCTAATGAGACACTTAAATCACCCTCACCCAGCTGAACATGGACATTTTAAAGAGGCTAATAAAGGAAGAGTGGCTAAAGCTAAAGCTATCCAGAGCTCAGTATCTACAGACTCGGTATGAGAAAGGGCTCAAAGCAGGAACAAAAGAAAAAAAATTGTTTAGCCAAGTAAAAAAAAAAAAAAAAAAAGAGCAAAGGTTCCACGTGCTGCTATCTGATGAAGTTATAAACATAATTATTATATTATTTATGTTACTTGCATTTGTGTTGATATATAAATCTGATAAACCTGCTTTTGTTTGGTAGGGTAAAATATGTCAAGTAAAGGCAAATGTATAGAAACCCATTTTAGCTAATTATCTGTAGCTTTATTCTCAGTTCTTTCAGTGAGAGTCTATCATGTCCAGTTTGTGGGAAATTAAGAAACGTAATAATTTATTTTAGTGTAAAAATATCCCACATAGAAAAAAAAGTTGATTTTTTTGTATAAGCTGTCCCTTACAGAGCTTAGAAAACTGGAATAAGCAAAAATAAAATTAAATAAATAACTAAATGAATAAATCAGTAGATAAATAAATAAATAAGAAATAAAAATCAGCCAAGAAAATTACAATCAGTGCATCTCATATCTCTGTGATAATAATTTGCATAAAGTAGGATTTTTTTTATAATCCTCCAGAAACATATCTGCATATGAATGAGCTGAATTCGAACCTTCTGGTGATTTCTAGTGCTGGAAGCTTTCTGATTTCAGTCTATAGTCCGCTCCTAGTTCAAATTCAATCGACCAATCAAATCCAAGCAGGCCTTAGCTGCATGCAGGTCCCCTCAAAAGTGGAACCCCGTTTACTGAAATGCAATCTTAAATTCATCAGCTAACATCTGAAGACGAATTAACTTTTTAAAAAGTTTATCTCCATTTGTAAACATCACAAAATACCTTGGACCAGGTATCTGCTGGTTACAACGGATACCTGGAAAAACTGTTCCCTGCATTCAGAGTATAAGGAATCTTAAGGTGCCAGTTTTTCAGGCTTAGTTCAATGATAGAAGCACTTTGATTAAAGCAACTTAAACCAAAAACTAACGGCGATATTAGATGAAGCCCCAAGAGCCACTACCCTGCTTGTCAGCTAATGTCAGCTGGCTCCAGCCCCCAGATTCTGATTTGAATAAGTGGTTAAGAAAATGCATGGATGGATGGATCGATCCCCACGATTTTCAATCTGTCCGACTCTTCTGTTTCCTCTAGATTTGTTTATTTGTACACAACACAAGTGTGAAGAAGTAGTTAATGCAGTCTGTGAAGGCCATTTCAATGTACAGCCCAATCTTAGGAAGGGATTTTGCTAATCTGTTTTAAAAGGCAGTTATTATCAGGCTTGATTCAGCATGGTAGGTTTACCAGTGACATTTGGAGACATTGACTAGATAATAGAGCTCTGAAAAAGGGCAGAACACTATAAAGGACAATGTGAACCCTCAGAACTAAAAAAACAAATGACAGCTCCACAAGCTGTGCCCATTTCCCACAGAGATGGAGTACAGCTATGTGTCATAACATCTATTAGAACAAAGACCACCTTCCTGTTTTGGATCAAGGCTTTCTTGCCATCTGAACCTCCCAAATAAGATACCATCTCTAATACAGGAGCCTACATGCCGCCTTGCACAGGTAACCCCCTCCACATCTCTAAACCATAACAATTAAACTACTCGTACACCATCATTACACAGCTATGGCGGTTTTTCTTTTTGCTGCAGGCGATGCCAATATGAAAAGACACAAAGCATAAACAGTAAGGACCCCAGTGTCATTATAGGACATGTTTCAGGGTTTTTTTTCCAAAATATGCTAAAAGCATAAATGACTCATAGACGGGGAGACATGAGCCAAAAATTCCCCTTGACTTGTCCATTAAAAAAAGCCCCACAAAAACAAAAATCAGTTAAAATCTTGACTTTTTCTCCAATCCATTTACAAAGAGCGTCACTCTGCTGTGGATGTCTCACTTGTTGTGGGAGAGGAGAGTGCATCCCGAACACAGGGGCCTTTCACCAACCATTGTTTGGAGCAGAGGAGTCTTTAAACAGCACGCCTCCAGTTAAGCCCTCTCAGTGTGGGTTTGACATGTCAGAACATGAGCGGAGACATCCAAACTGCCTCAGTTTTTAAGTGCAGGAAACTCAATGCAGGTCACGGCTCTCTGAGGCGATCTCCGATAAGGCTGCCGCCCCATTTTATTACAGTTCCTGTTTCTTGTTATTGAAAGGTCAACCAGCGGTAATGCTCAAAAATAGCAATTACATGAACCCATCTTAAGGTGCCAGTCTTTCAGGCTTTGTTAACAGCTCACCCAAAATCAAACTTTCTGTATGTTCCTCTGGGCTGCATTGCTATTTATCTGACTAGATTGTGAGTCATTTATACTGGCTGTAGTAATATCTGCTTTCTCTTGAATATAATGGAACTCAACGCAGCTTTTTTTGTTGTACTTAAAGTGCCAACAAATATGTTTTTGTCAAACGTGGTATCATGACCTTGTTACTAAAATGGTCCGGCACTTTCATATAGGAACTATTTTCTTTCTACTGTCTCATCACAGCCCATCTAATGTTTACATCCTGTTACTGTATCATTAGCACAAGCCTGCCATCATGGGTACATAGATGCTTTCGTCAGTACAGTAATATCATTAGCAAGTAGTTCCTAGATTGTCCTTTTAATGAAGAACTGGTTATTAGTGAAATAAAGCAGAATGAATAAAGAATAATATTTGATAAATGAAGCCCCCAAAAAACATGATTTTCAGATTTTAAACAAGGAGTATTTTAAACTCAACCCAACTAACGTGTAGCCATGAAAGGAAATTTTGGGTCATCGCAGGTCAATGCAGAAATTGTGTTGTTGGCCACTGACAATCGCTTCATCTCTGGAGCACCGCATTGACTACCGGAAAACAGCACCACTTATTCTTTCACAGACAATAATAACAACAAAAGGAAGCAATAGAAAATGAGTGCCTTTCACTAAAATAATAGTGAAATCAAGAACACAACAAAGAAACAGCATCATGGTGAAGATGCCTGAAATTTGCCATCCCGAAAGAGATAAAGTGGAACCGAACTGTTCCCCCACTAAAAGAAAAACCCCTAATTGAATCCATGTGGTCAGCATTACGTCATTCTTTAAATATGACCATCCCCATATCGCTGTGTCCCAGAATGCCTATGGAAACAAGGGAGCCCCGGGACTCGCGATGCCTACAGAGGACACCAGTGTCTTTGTCTCTGTGAGGGTAAAACTGTTGGCAGCATGTTTGTCAGGTCTTTCACTTCGCTACTCACGTCTGCTCAGATAAAAATGACCACTCAGTCTGAGGGTAGCGAAGCACAAGCGAAGCCCCGACTTATTCCATGAGAAAAGAAAATCTAATGTGAGCAGCAAGTCCGTGCGTATGCACATGCATGCATGCATGCGTGCCAATGTGCAGTGAATCTGAAGTGGTTTTTTGGGGAACGAGAGAGGACAACCTTGAGATCTAAACTTCCACTCTTACTCTGACCAACTTTCCAACCATACTTTCCTTCCGTCATGAATTACAGAGTGAGAATTTAGCTAGCAATTAGTGTTTCTACTCTGATGATTCACCAACTGACATTCCCTGTCTGGCTACTTTTATCATGCATGTCATGACAAAGACGGTCCTGCAGCATCTTCCTTCTTTCTGTAGCTCTACAAAAAAAAAAAAGAAAGAAAGAAATTACAGAAAAAAACAAGCATAAGAGCTCTTACTTCTCTTCTGCTGAGCTCCCAAGCACAAGCCAGTCATTTCCATCAAATTAGGTGAGTGACAAACACAGTCGCCAGAGAACAAGGTGAAAATCTTTACCCCGAGCTCGTCTAATGCAACCTGGATGGTCTGGCCTACTTAAAGCTCCCAGAGCCTTGTGTTGTCTGCAGAAAGGCATTGATCACTTCCCCTTAAAATAAATTGAACATCCCAATTCACATTTAACATGAGATTTGCAAATTGGGTTTTCAAGAAGCCTTGCAGTGGAATGCCCAGGCTGACGGACTCAGTTTGTCAAATTAAGAAGGGAATGT